TAATCCCTGTTTTGTTTATTTTTCAGGATGCACAGATGATCAGAACTTTGACACAACGACTGTTGGTGTTGGACAAAATGTGACTCTAATATGTACACTGCAGACATCTAGGGACATTGAAACCTTTTTTTGGGTCAAGGTTGTTGCTGGTATCTTGCCTGAAGTCTTGGGAAGAGCATTTAGCTTTAAAGATGATGTGACTGGGATTTCTGGCATTACTTTAAAAAAAGAACCTGGAAGATTTTTTCTACATATTACAAAAACAAAGCTGAGAGATATGGCATTTTACTACTGTCTAAAATCACATCGTTTCAATATTACTTTTTTGAAAGGAACGTTTCTGAGAATTAAAGGTAAAAATAACAAAAAAACGCAAAAAAGACCTGTAAATTCTGTTAAACTATTATGATATTGTTTAATTATATATGTATAAGTTGTTACATTTTGTTTCATGTGAACAGAAATGTGTCTTAATTATGGATTTGAATTAATTTTATTTACTTAAGCATCCTGCCTGTAATGTATTTTCATTATTAGTAAATATATGTGTTTTCTGATTGCCAGGACCAGAACATGATATCACTACCATCACTCAAGACTTTTTGTCTGATCCAGTCCGCCCAGGAGACTCAGTGACTCTGCAGTGTTCAGTCCTCTCTGACTCTGAGAATAAAACGTGTCCTGAAGAAGATAGTGTGTATTGGTTCAGAGTCGGATCAGATGAATCTCATCCCCGTTTAATTTATGTCCAGAGAAAAAGTGGTGATGAATGTGAGACGAGTCCTGAAGCTCGATCTCCACAGAGTTGTGTCTACAGCCTCTTCGGGGCCAACATCAGCTCTACTGAATCTGGAACCTATTACTGTGCTGTCACTGCATGTGGGGAGATTATTTTTGGAAATGGATCAAAACTTGACATTGAAGGTAACTGCAAAACATTCCTATATAATGGAGGAATTGTCATTTGCTTAAAATAATTTTATCAAGCAGCATACATTATTAATTACCATCTCTTAACTTTAATATTTGTTTATTTTCATTACGTTTCAGATGTCAGCTCGTGTGATTCACAGAAAGACAATACAATTGTCCTTTTGTTGTGTGCTGCTTTGGCTATAAGTCTGATTGTTATAGCCTTCCTTGTTTATGCCATCTGGAAAAAATCCTGTGATTGTTGTAATGGTAAGAGACATTACTCATGTTAATCTATTAAGCTGTGTTTCCCAAACATGAGATCATTTGATTCACGTTTGTGCTGTGTAATTCAACCCAAAATTTTATTCATCTTCAATAAAGTGAAATCCATAATTTTTAACTATGTTTTATTAATATTTTTTAAATAATACAGCTGTTGTCACTTCACAAACAAATGCTGCAACAGCTAGTAGTGATCAACAAAGTCAGAGGGTAAGGTGTTGATAGTAAAGTTATCAGCAATTTTTTGTCTGTTTACATATAAATGTATTTAAATTTGCATTTTCAATTTTATTTCCCCAGAGAAATGAGGACTCTTTGATTTATTCTACAGCAATCTTTACCAAGAGGAAAGCTGGCAAAGTAGGAAGAAGGCATGCAACAGCAAATGAAGAGACAATCTACACGGATGTCAGAGCTTTTGTGATAGATTAACAATCCAAACACTGAACTTACTTATTGATGTTATGGTGTGGCACATTGCTTGGGAAATATACTATGTTAGCAGCACTGGTATTTGCATTTCACATAAAAAGTTGTTAACATAATGTTTTGTTGATTAACTAATTAAGCTTTATGCAAAACATTTACATGTTTTGTCCTAACTGTTTGCAGACTATTGTTTGAGTGCAGTTACGTCAGCACAGGATATCATTCAAAACACATAAAAATAACTGCATTTTTGTTATGTTTTTGGTAATAACCTACAGAATTCTGTATTTTTTGTGCATTTTATTATTAAAATTTTCCCCAAGTTTGTGATGCATGTAAACACGCTGTTTTTTGGTCATGAGAATAGTTACATTTCTGTTTCTTTCATCTGTTGCAGTTTTATGGCTGTTAACCTTATCCCAAGACCCTAATCTATGCAAAAAGATTTTACTAAAAGAAATGTATTTTTGTGCACATGTGAGGTTTCCTTTCTTAATAAACAATGAAATTTTAAATAAAACTGAACACTGTCACTGTCTGATTCACAAAAAATAGAAAACAAATTAATTGTGCTAATCAAAACTGTAATTGGATTTAATTTTGTGCAAATGTGAGTCCTATAAAACATCTTGTGATTGTTACATATAAGTTTACTTGACATGTCACAATGTTGAGGGTCAATGTTAATGTTGAGAGTTGTAGAGAATGATAAAGAACTGATGGTGAGGGCAAGAGAGTTTCAGCAAGTATTTGTATGCAGTTAGTTTCTGAGTGAAGTTTGTATTTATTTGGTTGGCCCGACTGTTAGTAAGTTAGATCAACAAAATATTTTTTATACCTTTTATTAACCTCTTACCATTCCTATAAAATTAATTCAAAACACCTATTCAAGGCATATCCAAAGTCAGCCTACTATCACCTGAAGAATATATCAAGGATTAAAGGACTTATGTCTCAGCAAGACGTGGAAAAGCTTATCCATGCATTTATCTTCAGTCAACTTGACTACTGTAACTGTAAATCCATCAGACAGCTGCAGCTGATTCAGAACGCTGCTGGTCGAGTCCTCACTAAGACCAAAAAGGTGGATCACATCACTCCAGTTCTGAGGTCTTTACATTGGCTTCCTGTATGTCAAAGAATTGATTTCAAAATCCTGCTGTTAGTTTATAAAGCACTAAATGGTTTAGGGCAAAAATACATTTCTGATCTTCTGCTTCGTTATGAACCATCCAGACCTCTCAGGTCGTCTGGGGCAGGTCTGCTTTCTGTCCCCAGAGTCAAAACTAGGAGAAGCAGCGTTCAGTTATTATGCTCCGTATATCTGGAACAAACTCCCAGATAAGTGCAGGTCTGCTGAAACTGTCAGTTCTTTTAAATTAAGACTGAAGACTTTTCTTTTTAACAAAAATTTTAATTAAATATTTAAGATTTTTCTTGTTACCATTGTCTTTAACTAGTAGATTGATAACTTACACTGCACTGTAACTTTTACTGACCTTTTTTCTTTGTTTTTAGCTTTTTAACATTGCTTTTGATTTAATATTTACACGGTGAGAAATGAGTAGGTAATTGAGTGAAAAGATAATAAGAGTGAGATTGAACAGAGTGAAGGAAGTTGTCTTAAATCTCGCGCCTGAGTGATTTGTAGGAACCTCTGTCCACCTGTAAACACGCAAGTGGGTCCAGAGTATAACTGGATGAAAGTGGCCTGCAGACAGACATGTACTAGTTTCTCTGTAGTGTCCGATGGTTTTTGGAGTTTCAGTGGACCCAAAGATTGCTATGGACCCGAGTACAGACTAGCTAGAGAGAGTAGATTAAGTGTACTTTGTTTATCCTCTTTTCAAAATAATTGTAACTCAATTGTTTGTTCAATCCCTCAGCTTGTTTTTATTTTCCATTTAACTCTTTTAGCCCTGATTGTACACTGCACTGTAACTTTTATTATATTGTAATGTGTATTTTTTCAATTTCCCTATGTTCCTTTTAAACTTTTTTTTTATTTTTTATTTTATATTTCCCTGTTGCTTTTATGTTTTATGTAAAGCACTTTGAATTACCTTGTTGTTGAAATGTGCTATACAAATAAACTTGCCTTACCTAGTCCAAGTTTGCAATTGGCTCAGCCTACCCACGACATAATAGAGCTGGCCCTTCCTTACTGCGTGGGCTCTCGTTGGATATTGAAAGCTGTGAAAGGGACATGTGAGCTGCTATTGGGTCGAATTCGGTGTCACTTGAAAGGTCAGAGTTCAGCAGCTAATCTCAATACGAGATACCGTAGATGTTTACATTCAAATCAGAGTTATTTCAGTTATAATGACATACGAGCCACGAATATGAAACGATGCTGCAGCAGTCCCTGGTGATTTATTGATGGAATAATGTGTTTTTGACTAAATGTTTTGACTGGATTTTGAATTTTGATTGTACTTGCTGGTCTGACAGAGGCGCTGATTGTACCCGCTGTGGTGATGGTATCTTGATATGGTTTGCATTGGTCGAATCACAAGGCTTTTAGCTTTCAAACGGTGCATCATATGAGTATGAAGTTAACAGCAGTTGTGTGCACATACCGAAAGCTCCTGCCAGGACCTGACGCACATAGCCAACCAATAGGATGGCAACACGTGTGTGACATATAAATAGAAGTCTCCATACTGCCTCAGCATCCTTTTATTTTCAGCATATGACAAACTTCTCACTGAATTCACATCCACTGTAGAGCACACAGCCCCCATTCGACGTACTGGTCAGCTGTTTGTCTGTTACAGTGCGGTTGGTAAGAGCCCGGTCGGCTGGCTTTGTGAGTGAATCACCCAAGCCTGTACACGGGCAGGAACAGACCCACCCTCAGCGGCTCATGCTGTGTGCTGTCTTGGCTTCCTTACTTACACCATCAAGAAAAGCAAGTGTGAATGTGCCAACTGTAATAGAAGTAACTAATATATTTTTATTAAATTACAACACAATTAAAACTACTGCATCCTTTTTTAGTGTCATCTATATATCATTTTCTTTCTCAACATCCAGCTGCTGTTGCCCTGCAACAAAATAGTGGTGGTCAGAAAAGTCAACAGGTAAGGATTTTAAAGGTAGGATGAATCTTTGAATTTTTTGTCAAATTTGTCATCTCATATAATCACTCAGAGAGATGAGTACACATGGGTTTATTCTGCTGCTGTCTTCACAATGATGAACCCTAATAGTGGTGCAAAAAAGCAGCGGAGAAAATGAAAGGATCTACACCATAGCTGTCAACACTGGAATGTCAAAACAGGGGAAATTTTCTATTTAGTTCAGTACAATATCAGCCAGTAAGTACCCTGTAATGAAACTGGTATTAAGAGAGAGAAAGTCAGAACTGAGGATATTTAAAAATATGTTTATTGCATCATTATGAATAATCTTGTTTAGAGTCACATGTTCATAAATCTATTGTAAGTAAACGTCTTCAGAATCTAAATTATTTTCAACATGGATTTCATTCAATAGATACTTTTTAAAAATGTAATAATGGCTGATGTTCTAGTTACTGTATATTAACACCAGAAGCAAACACAGAACTACAGACATGTTAACAACATGTGTACTTACAGAAATACTGACACACATGCATTGAATTAATAAAGCACCTGATAAGCTGATGCTGAATCTATCTGATGTGAACACACCCTGACATGAGCTAAGCTGAGGCCGTCTGTAGAGATTTTAGGAGCAGTGCACCAACCGTGCTCTGCCTATAGAGAGGGGTGTTGCTGGTTGTGGTAACCTGCTCTAACAACAGAGTATGCACACTCTTGTGATAACTCTCCCTTCTTCATCCCTCTTTTCATTTTCCTTGTGGAGAAATCCAGTGCTGAATATTTTACTTCCTTTTCTTCAACATCCTGCAAAAAACAAAAATATATATTGCTGTGTTGATGAAAAAGGTTTCAGAGATTAGGGCTCTAACACCAAGACCTGTTAAGTCAAGATGAAGTAAAACAATATATACTTAGAACATAAGTGCTCAACATCTTATCTAGTTTTCTTTTATTTAATTTATTAGTCACCAGTATTATATTTTTATTTCTTGACATGCCAATTTCTTGGCCCTTTATCATATAGTAAAATACATTATGTTGCAGATACTCCACAGTGAGTTTATTATATTATTTATATGTTACGAGTATAATATTATATGTATCTTTATCAGAGGATCTGATAACATCAGAATGAACATGAATGAAACTACTCCAATCCTCCACTGCACGACTAAGAGGAGAGCGCACGGGTGCAGAAGGAAGGTCCAGACTGTAAAACCGGATGAAAGTGTGAGGATTGGCCCAGCCAGCTGCCTCACACAAATCCTGGAGCGAAGCCCCTATGAGGAGGGCCCTAGAGGCCGCCATGCCTCGAGTAGAGTGCGCCCTTACGGCCATAGGTGAAGGTAACCCGCGCACCTGACAGGCCAGGGAAATAGTCTGAACGATCCAGTTTCAGATCGTATGTTTAGAAGCGGGGAGCCCAGCCTTGGGGGACTGGGTCCTTATGTTCTTAGGGACATAGCCCGGACAAGGGTGCAGGATGGCTCTGACCCTCCCCGGGGCAAACTACAGGCATTGAGGAGAAACCGAAAGTGCCTGGAGATCCCCCACCCTCCTCAGAGAGGTATAGCGAGGAGAAGGCCATCTTAAGGGTCAGATGCTTGGCCTCAGCCGACTCCAGGGGTTCGAAGGGGGCCTCAGCCAGCACCTCGAGAACCACTGCCAGGTCCCAAGTGGGAACCCTGGAACGAGTCACTCCTCAGAGGGACCTGCCAGGGCGGGCCCTCTAGGAGCAATATTATGTCCGAGAACCACACTAGGGCTGGCCAAAAACGGGGACACCGTCCTGACGGACCCCTTCCAGAACACCCAGGGGCAGAGCAACTGGGGGAAGAGCATATAGACGCAGCCTCGGCCACGTATGCACCATGGCATCCAGCCCTAGCGGGCTGGGGGCGAGAGGGAGAACCAGAGCGGACATTGCGAATTCTCTCGAGACGCAAACAGGTCCACGGCTACTGGGCCGAACCTTCGCACAAACACTCCACCACCTCGGGGTGGAGTCTCCATTCCCCGGGCCTCAGCCCCTGTCGCGACAGCAGGTCTGCTCCCTGAATCTGGGTCCAGAGCTCTGAATACCGGCAACATTTCCAGGCAATTTATGTGCCAAGAGAAATGATGCTCCTCCTAGGAGCCTCTTACAAAGCGGATGTCGTCCGACACGGCTTGGTGGGGAGCGCCAGCGTCTGAAGGAATGAAGCGAGGGCCATAGCCATGCTGCTTAGTTTCTGTCACGCTGCTGTAGTCCAGCAAAGGGGACACAGTTAGCCGTTTTTTTTTTTTTTGGTCTGTTCCATGATTTACACAACTCATTGTGTAAATCAGGAAAGAATGGAAAGGGTCGACGCAAGGGTGGTGCTCGCGCTGCAGAAAAGCTCATTGAGGTTACTACCGGCCCGCGGCTCCTGCCCCGCCTCTCATAGCTGGGAGACTATAGACTGATGACATCGGCCCGGCTCCCGGAAGTCATCCTCCATGATGCTAAGCACGTCTATCTCCTCAGAATTAGGACTCCCAAACGGGGAAGAGAGGACGCAGAGTCAGCAGACGAGGAACGGGAAAAAGCCTCGGCAGTCCCGATGCCCTCGGAGATGTTGCGCTGGGAGCCCCATGACCAAAGCCGCCGCGCCGCCTCAGCGACCGCCGGGCCCGAGCCACGGGAAGAGCGCATCCGGCCGTCTTCGGAAAAGAGAGCCGCACGGGACCTCAGCACCCTCAGGGGCAGGGCCTCGCAATGGCTGCAAGCAGCCCCCTCGAGAGCTGCGGCATCCCCAGACAGGAAACACACAGGGCATGAGTGTCCCCAGCCGTGATGTAGCACGGGCATGGAAAAACACACTGCCTGAACCGCTCACCAGCCATCTCCTCTGCTTCTCCTTCCAGGTAAGAAAACTTACTCTTGCTTTTCGAGTAGTCTCGAACATGCCAGAGTGCCTACTGAATAGAAAAAAGCTAATGTCTCCGGTGTGCCGGTGTGCTTATATACCGTTCTAGCAATGCCAATAGGATTGGAGTAGTTTCATTCATGATTTCAGCCCTGCCACGCCCAGAGGCGTTCCCATATGTCGTCACCGACGCAGTTCGAGTTCCCTAGAAGGGATCAATATACCCACTTAGCCAGTGCAAATAGGACAAACCAATGCTGCATATTTACCAGATAATTTGATTGATCCACAGTCGACCTGTCATGTCCAAGATGATGGGAATCACTCATTGCTCCTTTTAAAATAAAAACAAAGCTTCCACAATGTGTGTACACCCTGGTATGAAGGCTACATCTGTCATAGCAGTGTGATCTCAGTGTGATTTGTCATTTTGTTTTGAACAAACAACATACTTTAATCATTTTGGGCTTTACAGTTAAACACATTACTCCTTTGATGTGCCCAAAACAAGGGTTCTTAGCTCAAAGGCAAACCTACCTTTGCAATGTTCACAAACTTTCCTTCGATTCATGTAGAAAATAAGGACGACAATCACCATCACACAGCAGGCCAACACCACTCCTAGCATCACGACAACTCGGGCTAATTCAGATCCTGAATCAGGAACATTTCCTAAGAGACATTTATCAGGAAAAAATAATGTACGCGTAAAATAATTATTATGAATGAATAAATTCCTCCTCAATAGTTAGCATAATAATAGCATAGCATAATAAATGTTTAGGTCTTGAATATATCAGTTATATAATTATTAAATTTAGTTGTTAACTGCGTGTATTGGCTTCATGCTTTTTTCAACTCCTAGTCTCCCTTAACCTTAAAAGAAACCAACAGACTAATCTTCCAAAATCTAGTACATTTTGGAAGTTACAGATATGATTCTAATAAAATTTTGAAGACGTACTTGTGTCCACTTTTGTTCCTTCACCAAACAGGATCTCTCCACATGTGACCACAGCACAGTAGTACGTCCCAGCATCAGAGGGGCTCTGTATAGTTTTGGACAGACTGTAGACACAGCTCTTTTCCACCTGTTCATCACTGGTGTTGTTTTGACTGTAAATTATGTTTGGATGGGATTCTCCTGATCCAGCTCTGAACCAGTACACACTGTGTTCCTCTGGACATTGATCTGTGTTTCCTTTGTTCTTGGAGAGAAGTGAACACTGGATGGTAACTGAGCCTCTAGGTTGGACTGATGCTGTCTCCGGACTTTGTTTCACCATGACAGATTTCTGCTGATTAGGATCTGTGTGATTCAGTTAAAAAGAGGCGTCAAAAGCAATTTACAAGCTAAATACGTTTTAAGATGAAAACTTAGGGATCATTCACATAGCACAGACAATAAATATGTTTTACCATTCACAGCCAAGAAGATGCCATTAATGAAAGTCTGTGAATACGACTGTCCATTTTGACAGAAGTATGTTGCTTCATCGTTTTTACTGACATTTCTGATAGTAAGACAATACTGAGTATCCGCTTTTGTTACTGTGAAACCAGAGTCTTTAAATTGATCGCTAACTGTTATTTTGCCAAGTATTACTCCAGCGATCATTTGGACCATATATCCAAGGGACTGCTTGTACCAATAAAAGTATTTGCCATCCGTCTCAGAGACCAGACAGCGAAAAGTAAAATTGTCACCAAGTTCAACCACAGTCAAAGAGATCTGGCGAGGAACCTCTGCAGTTTGAATCAGGTCTGTAGAAAGTGACAATAACAGAGACAACACAAGTGGACAAAGTCAATGAAAAGTGTAAAGCATTTTCGATATTAAATATTATTACATGGCATTTCCTAATATGTATTAATATTTTTTCACACACCGTTTAGTAAAAACAATAGTTTGCATGAGTATTTTTCTCACACTAGTTAAGAATTGTACTTACAAATTGTACTTAGAAGAATCAAAGCAGCCAGTCTTCTTGTCATTGTGGTACAGCGCCTTCGTCTTGCACTACTCATGTCTCCCCACGTAAATGGAAGGTTTAGTCACAAGGTGATCAAGGTTTACAAAGAAGAAATCATGGTGATTGGCTGAAATGTAGAAAATGAACTTCCCCCTACATTTAGCAAACCTGTGATCCATTTTCATTTCATAAGAGATTTGCATGATTAGTTGGTTTTGTATTCTTCTTTTATTATTCTTAATTATACTTGTTTCTTGTTTCTGTGATAACCAGCTTTCGTGTTTTGTGAAGCACATGCACTGGAAGTCCAACATAAAAACTGTCCTTTTGACGCACTGTATGTGGGTATTTAGATACAGCAAAATGAAGCAATATTTTGATTTTGATCATTTTGGATGTAGGCTATATCATGTTCTACTAGCACACACACAGGTTTCATGCAGTTCTACTGGCCAGCAGTTGGTGTTGTTAACATGCTGAGAAACCGGAAAGTGGGAAGAAGTAGACCTTCAGTTAGCAAATGTGAATGTAGATAATGAAGTTACAAATGTTTTCAAAGATATTGGTGTGATGAAATCACACCTCAAGTAAACACAATGCATTTTGGTACAAAAATAACTGAGATTTTTATATAAATATTAAACATAAAGGGTTACTCAAAAAGAAATAGAAAAGAAACTATGTGGTGTAATGAGCAGCTGGAAGTATTTACCGACAACAACAACTGGGCCCAGTGGCTGCAGAAATTCCATTCTTACAGTAATGTTGCTGGCTAAAAGAAAAGTAGCCAGCAACATTACAAAAAAAAAAAAAAAGTGTTGTTTTCGATATACTGGTGGCTAGCTTGCTAGCAAATGACACACAAGACAGACACTGCCTTCACCACCATCACTAGTGTCTAGACTCCTGGGGCCTGTACCACGAAGCAGGATTTGAGCTTATCGAAGTAACTTCGGGGTTAGCCCTGGGTTTTCAGTACCACGAAGGTGGTTCACTTCTTACCGGGGTCGATCGCTGCCTGTTCATTTAGACATTCACACTGCGATTTCTGTCTCCCTGCATGTGTCAGATGCAGGTGTACTACTTAGACCATGTCATATTTCTGTAGTATTACAATTTAATCCTCGTTCATAAAATATGACTCTGACTCTGCAGACAGTCCAAGAGGGGGTCTGTAATGGATTTTAGATGGGACAACACAAGGCGTTCAAAGGACTTCATAACAACAGAGGTCAGGGCGACGGGTTTGTAGTCGTTTAGTCCAGTGGTCCTGGGTTTCTTGGGGATAGGGATGATAGTGGAGGCTTTGAAGCAGGCTGGCACATGGCATGCCTCCAGTGAGGCGTTAAAATGTCTGTGAACACCGGAGACAGCTGATCAGCCCAGTGCTTCAGGGTGGATGGGGAGACAGAGTCTGGCCCAGCTGCTTTGCGGGGTTTCTGCCTCCTGAAAAGCCCATTGACTTCCCTCTCTGTGATGGAGAGAGGAGGGGAGGGGGTGGAGCTGAGCGGAGGAGTCACAGGGGATGGTGTCCGATTGACTCTCAAAGCGGCAGTAGAACTGGTTCAGAGCACCGGGAATCACAGCCAAAAGCTGAATTAACACACAAAACCAAAACAAAGCGCACCTAACATTGAGGCAGCTATACTCAGTGCCATCTTGGAAGACACAAACGACATAAGTTATCTGAAAAGATTCTCAGTCATCCAAGTCATTCAATGTGGGTTAAAATCAAAGGCAACTGGACTTGGTTGAAGATGCTTTAAGACTTTTCGCCTCTCATCCAAGAGGCTTCTTTAGTTCTGACTTGGCCTGATTTCACTCCTGACTTGGACCTTTGTGAAAGCAGATCCAGGAGGTACATCAAAAGTACAGGTGATGAGGAAAAGAAGAGTCAATTCAATGTCTGGAGGATTTTCAACAACACATTCCTGTGTTTTTAAAAAATATATAAATTTTTAAGTTTATTTTTTGTTTTGAGAGACAGGACAGTGGATGGCAGTAGAAAACAGGGAGAGAGTTAGGGGGCAACGCACACCAAATGGCCACAGGCTAGACTCAAACCGGGCCACTGCAGTAAGGACTCAGCATTCTAAATGAGGCGGGCACTCAACCAAGTGAGCTAACCATGCTCCATCGCTGTATTTTTTAAACCCAAGAACATGTTAAGACAAATATTTGTCCACCAGAAAGAAAAGCAACCTGGTGTATGCTTTTCAATGCAGTGAGGAGTGCATAGATCTTTGTATTGGGGAAACTGAACAAACACTACACAAACGCATGGCTCAACACAGAAAGGCCAATGACTCAGGTCAAGACTCAGTTTACTTAAATTTGAAGGGTAAAGGAAACACTTACTAAGCACAACAATGTACGTATTCTGGACAAGGAGGACAGATTGTTTGAAAGAGGAGTGAGGACACCACTTATCCCCCACTTAAAATCCTGTCCTATCATCCTTTCCCAGGAGATTGAACAAACGTTCACATTTGGCCTCATGCGACAATGCAAACAATGTTTTTTCAGACTTGGCCTCAGGTAATTCCAGCAACATTGTTAGAAAAGTCAGTAGTCAGTTACAAACCAATTATATCCATCACCTCTATAACAACCCCACACAGGTTAAATATCTGGGATCTCCCACCAGTCAGTCAGAATGGAAGAAGGCTCTTGGATGAGAAGCAAAACATCTTCAAGCATCTTCAAGCTTCTTTTTCCACAAAAGACATTTTTATTTGTCATACAAGGAAAAGCACAGGAGGAACACAATGCAGCAATTAATAATGTCATTAGTTATAACTGTGTTTAAGATCTCTAAATGTCTAAATGCTGTGAAAAAGGTCACATTTGGTTTGAATCCACATATTTTCCTTGTGCGCATTGAGACACAAAGTGTGTGTGTGTGAGAGAGAGAGAAAGAGAGAGACTGTTATAGACAGTCACTGGTTTTCACAGTGAACTGCTGTATATTTGTCAACCACAACTTCCCACAAGAAGCATGACTAACAACAATACACATGGAGAATTTATGTTCCATTTTATGTTATGTTGGAGCATAACTACTCAAAGTAATAAACCCCTTCCTCTTTCTGGTCTCACAGCACTTTATAAAAGCCTTCAAGCAAAGCCGCATGCAGCAGTTACATTGACAGATAATGGGGTACTTTGTTTTATTTATTTAATGAACTGTATGAATTGAATTGTTATCTTGTGTTATACTTGAAGCTTTGGCAATATTGTTCTTTTGGAATTCTTGCCAATAAAGCAAACTGAAATTAGTGGGGTGGAACAAGTGAATAACTAGCACCTCCCCCCTCAGCAACTACCAATGAAAAGCGCCAACCCACAGTACATAACAGTCATGACTTTGCTTTACTGGGTAAGTGTGTATGTATCAAACCTCGTGACCCCTTTAACTACTCCTGTAAGTAGTAAGTATTTATAACAATTAATAATATATTGTTATTCCACTTGCCTTTAAAACTGGTAAAACATTAGTCAAACCCAGCTTCCTCAGGACAAAACAGTGTGAGGAAGGAAAAAAGACCCTCTTTGTTTTATATATAAATAAAATTTAATTGAATTGTGTTTCAACTTGCCTTTTTAAAACAGGTGAAACAGCAGTTAAACCCAGCTTCCTGAGGCTAAAACGGAGAAGAAAGAAAAGCCCCTCTATCTTGACACCTTAGTTTGAAGCCCAACCACAACAGTACTTTAGTTTCCATCCATCATTTGCCACTGTGAGAGTGTATTCATTCTTTGACTGTTTGTGTGTGAAAGCGCAAAGCAGGAAACAAAGTACATGAAACAATTTACTGCGGGGCTTTCGTTTTGTGTAGTATGTATACAGGGGCTGGACACAGCAACTGTATGGTAATGTTTTATGTGTCAAAACTCCAGCAACAGTTGTAGTTATCAGAACAGCTGAATATGTGATTATCTGTTTCCTGTTGTTGGAAAGTACAAAGCAGGACACAACTTATTTGTAAGTATTTACTGCAGGGCTTTTGTTTTAATTTATATATCTCAGATTAAAATATGCAGGTTAGAAACTCTTAATTGCCTCCTGTTGACTGTGTTCCTGTGATATTGGGAGAGTACTGCTACACTGTCAGAAGAAGTCGTGGGAGTACCAAGGATGAATGGTTTAGCAGCCCTCCCCAACTCTTTCTGCTGTGCTCTTCCTGCTGATGTGACTAACAGGCAGAGTGGGCGGGTCTTCATTGATGATGTGTAGCATCTGAATGGGCTGGCTCGCACAGTATTTAATATGGCTCCTCTGCTTTGAGTCACTGCAAATGGCTGCATACATCTTTTTCATAGACTTTTCTGGCACGTAATGAGTGTCGACGTATTTACGTAATCGATTACGTCGACAACCAGCCCTAAGTACTGCTAAGCATGATAAAAGTTAATGCTGTCCTGCGCTAACAGGTGAGGCAGAACAAACAGAAAGGTAAGGATATTTTAGTCAAGTGCAGTTTGTACCCACCCCGCACACGTTACATTTCACATTGGTGGTTATGGGAATGATACACGATAGATACATAGTAAGTGGTCAAACAATTCACAATAAATACATGGTATGAAATAAAAAACACAGATAGATACATAAAATGCAGACCTGGTGCATATACTGTAGGTAACCCAAAGACATGTCTTAACAGGTGTGTCTTTAGCAGCTTTTTGAAGGAAGCTACAAAATCAGCAGGCCGAGCTAAGTGCTACGTTCACAAAAGCATGTTTCCATAAGTCTTAATGTCCCCATGAAATCAAAATCGATGTTAATTTGTTTTTATTGCATACGCCTTGCACTAATACACCAGCATTTGGCCCAACAATGTAGATATTTTTGATGGTATTTTAGAGTTTGACAGTTCCTGGAAAACAATTTTAAAATGTTGATGACTCATTGTGCGCTCTGGGGGTGCGTATTAATTCAGTGTCGAATGAAAAGCTTTTTCATTTTTATGACGCAACCGAGTATGGCGTTTCTGGGGGCCGACCACCGGACCTCACTGATAACTGTACAAAAACAAAAACATCATCATTAACTGATTTTGGTGAAACTTGATCAAATTTGATGGATAACAATATTTTCTGCTTCTCCCTCCGATGTCCCCTGGCTGCCCTGCCTCAACTATCTGTGATTTACGGAGTTCGCTGATGAACAGATTCACTTGTTGCTAGTTTAAAGCTTTGTGTGTCAACAGAATACACAAAAATATCAGGAAGCAAATAGCACTCCGGTTTCTGTTTCATGGGAACTTTAAGGTCAGGTCTTAGGACAGACAGCAGGTTTTTCTGGTTAGACCTATGAGAGCGAGCAGATGAACTATAATTGTGTCTGACCCCTTTCTCTCCCACTTGCGTCAGTGCTCACAACCATTAGTTTTGGATTAGACATTACTTGAGTTGTAGTAAATAGTTCTTGATTACCTTACCATGGATTATAAACTGGTTCTCAGCTCCTCAGACTGCGATCAATCCATGATCAGTGTTGGGCAAGTTACTCAGAAATTGTGATAAGTTACTTTTTACTTATTACTCCTTAAACAATAATAAGATTACATTACTTATTACAGGGTATTAAAAGTACGGTAACTAATTATGTTACTCGTTATGTTAGACTGTAATTGTATCCCTATGTCAGCTGTTTCAGAGTGGCCTCCTCATGATAAAGTCAGAAATATTTGATTTCTGTAATTGAACAGACAATCCAAAACGCATTTTAGCTCTGGTCTTTGTGAGGCTAAACCATCTCATTTGGGGACGAAGCATTTGTTCAGCCTGGCTTTCGTCTCCTCTGAAACACACACTTCATGCGCCCTGGCATTTGAAACAGCCTGAGAATCTTTCCTTGCTGCTTAAAGTCCAAGCAATATTCAAATTCACTCAGTAAAAGACAAGCATGTTTAAAATAAAAGTCAAAAGTTAAATGTCAACAATATCAACATGGCTATGAAGGATGAAAAAGACTTAATATGCACAAAGACAAGGATGAGACCAATGTGACAGGAAGTGCATTTTGCATATTCTGTGATAACCAATGAGATGCATTTTATGTTTGATGTGTCATGACCATCTCACCTCCTTCACCCACTGAAATACCAACAAGTTTCTTAACAAGAGACAATGTCAAGATGATCCTGTTATGGGTTACACTACTTGTTCTTCATCAAGGATGTAAGTGCTATCCAATCATGTTTTCTCATTTAAGTGTCTGCATGCTAATTAGATGTTTGGTGGTTTGTGTAATTACCCTGTTGTGTCCCCATTTTTTACATTATAAACTGATTGTTATTTACTGTTTCATGTGTTAAATGTTTTTATTTCATTCAGATACGTTGGTTCCAGTGACCACAGTTCAACTTGGTGAACCTGCAACCTTCACATGTGTTTTGCCTGACGAGGGGTTGAACCGTGAACAACTTTGGTGGTACAAGCAGAGTGCTGGGAATACTCTAAAATTAATATTGAAACTGCTGAAAAATACAAACCCTGAGTATGGACCAGACTTTTCTGCCTCAAGATTGGAAGTAAAAGAATATAAGAATATTAGCAATATGACCATTTTGAGGACAATTGAAAAAGATGAGGGAATGTATCACTGTGCAGTCGTGGAGTGGTTTAAGGTTACTTGGAGTGGCACCTATTTGTCATTACAAGGTAATTACGTGATGTATTCCTTGTAATATTTTAGAATCACTTTAACCACTTAACACTTCACTTTGTTAATGCTTATTACCAATTTTTCTGAAAAATCCGATTTCCAAATTTCCTAAATTGTGTTGTATTACTCCCAGGATCTAAATTAAGATATAATTTTACTTCAGATTCTATACACTTATTTCTGCAGAGTATCATGCAAAATTCTTTTCTGTTCTTCTAAACTATTCTTAAATCTGTTATAAGATTTCATTCGTGTAGAGATCTCAAACTTTCAGCACAGTTTTGTATCTTGCAGGCAAAACTCAGAGGACATCAAACTATACTGTCATTCGGGAGATGAAAGTATCTGATAAAGACCGTCCAGGAGACTCTGTGACTCTCCAGTGTTCAGTCCTCTCTGAATCTGACAATGAGACGTGTCCAGGAGATCACAGTGTGTACTGGTTCAGAGCCGGATCAGATAAATCTCATCCAGACATCATCTACACTGATGGAAATGGACATGATGAATGTGACAAGAGATCTGACTCTCAGAAAAGCTGTGTTTATCACTTCTCTAAGAACGTCAGCTCCTCTGATGCTGGGACTTACTACTGTGCTGTGGCTACATGTGGGAGATATTAGTGGGAGATGGAACAAAACTGGACATTCAAGATAACTGTATTATTATTCTGTTCATTATAAAATCTATATATTTAAGCGTTATATATATGTTCAGTGTTAAGATTGTAAGTCAAATAACATCGAAATTTAATTTTTATTACATGAAAAATCATTTAACAAGAAGGGGACATTAAAAATTATTTACTTTTTTGCTAACTTTAATAGTTTTTCCTTTTGACTATGTTCCAGGAGCCATTTGGTCACAGAAGGCCAATGCTATTATTGTCCTGCTGTGTGCTGTCTTGGCGATAAGTCTGACTGTTATAGCCTTCCTCATTTACGCCATCAAGACAATCAAGTGTGATTGTTCAAATGGTAATATAATATAAATAATAATAATAAATAATAAAGTTACTAACAGATCTCTCTATTAAATTTAAACTAAAACTGCTGCATCCTTTTTTATCATTATCTATTTTATTTCACACAATCCAGGTGCTGTCATCCTGCAACAAAACAGTGGTTATCAGAAAAGTCAACAGGTAAGGATTTTAAAGGTAGGATTCATCTTAATAAACCAGTTTTGAATCTTTTTTACCATTGTCATCTCATGTATTTTCTCAGAGAGATGAGGACACATGGATTTATTCGGCTCTTGTCTATGGCATGATGGAAGCTGACAGTGCAATAAAGGATGCTAAAGCAGTGGAGAGAGAGAGGATCTACGCTGCTGTCAAGGCTTTTGGGTTGGATTAGTGAGTTAATTGGTTCAGTATGATCCAGTTAATGTTAGTCTGTAAGGAGCTAAAGGGTTTGTTATACTGTCTGTGGCTATTAGGTAGTACTGTCCATGTTTTACTGTATATCATTTTAATGTTATTAACACGTTTTTTTAATGTATAAAAATTGTGTCTTTTTCATGCAAATGTGAACACATAGCAGGGTCACCCCCATGGATTAGCAGTTAAGGTGTCGAACATGAACTGCAATGTCCCTAGTTCAACTCTGGCTGGAGACCTTTATTACATCTGTCTCTGCCATATTTTTTATCATGTTTCTACTTTCTGTAATAAAGGTTAAAAAATGCACAGAAATATGCAGAAATATAAAGTAAGATTTTTCAAGTAGAAATCTGTTCTGTTAACATGGACATTGTTGTTTCATTACCCCTAAAAGTTACGGCAAATGTATGGTAATGGACAAAATATCAGAGAGGTTTACAGGTTTTAAGTTAGAGAATAAAAATGTGGTATACTGGATTATTATTATTTTGATCCAAATTTATTATTTGGATCAGTACTCAGTTAGTACCCTACTACTACAAAACTGGTATTGGTAGAGAAAAAGTCAGATCAGAGGATATTTGAAAGGTTTCTTGCATCATGAATGACTTGTTTGGAGAAAGACACTGTATGGCCATAATATTTATGCATGTTTCTCTGTATTGTTTTTGTTGTGTGACCCCGCAAAATATTTGTGAACAAACAAAACTGAGTCATAGTGTTGCTACTGCTGTCATTGTGCAGAACAAGTGTTGGTTATTCTGGAGATTTCCGAAGACTTGCCAGAATTACACAATCCATCCATCCATTAACTTTAACTGCTTATCTGTACAGGGGAGGGACTGGAACTGGATTTCAGAGTCCAATACTTAATTGACAACAATAGATTTTTTTAAATAATTACTGAAGATACAGTTACTTCTATATCCATTTTCAGCACCAGAAGCAATCACACATCCACAAACATGTTAACGACATGTCCTTTTACAGAAATACGAGCACACTTGCGTTGGCAATGAATTAACAAAGCAACTCAAAAGCTATTGCTCGCTCAAAAGATCAGCTGGTAGAAAAGCATTTTGACTTATTCTGTCCAAGATGATGGGAATCACTAATTGTTCCTGCTAAAATAAAAAGCCTTCAGAATGTGTGTACACACGCGGGATATGGTTACTTCTTTCATAGCAGTGTGATTATTGTCATTCTCTTATTAAAGGACACAGAAGAATGGACAACAGACATTAATAGCATTTTAAGGTTTTTTTCACTTCAGTGATGTGCCTGATACAGTTTCAGTGCTCAACTGAGCTTTGAGAAGTCAAGGGTGCTTTGATCAAGGGCAACTATGCTAATTTGTATTCACATGTAATGGCACATTTCATCTGAAGTTAGATGTTATATTTCTTGCTTATTAAACAGAGTACGGTCTAAACCTGCTCTATATGAAAAGTGCAACAAGATAACTGTTGTTATGAATTGGCGCTATATAAATAAAAATTTAATTATATTGAATAGGACATTATGGTGGGACATTACTCGGGCTGAAAGGTTGAATTTCCTTTCCAACATTCTACCAAACCAAATCAACATCTAACTAGCAAAAGAGGTTGAGCAGATTCTTCCAGTATGTTAGTATTGCCAAGTTTTCTTCCAACTAAAGTAACTCTTTTTTTAGTCCGCTGCAGTGATACTTTAAGTTAGGGATGGATTTTCCAAATAATCCATCATTTGGATGTAAAAAAAACATTTGTGGAAGATATTCCTGTACAGCTCATGGCATCACTACCCCCTTAACATACAACATCACAATGGGGTCTAATGGCGAAACACTGCTAAGACTGTGTTTGTGCTAAAGTAGGCTAAACTCATCCTGGAGCTAGTAATATGTCTTGTTTGTGAATAACCACAAAACTGGATAAATATCCTAAGGACAACTACAATTGGTGGCAGCTGAATCCGCGCTCGTCCTTGAAAGTATGGATTTGGTAGGGGTTTTGAAAAACTCTGAAATTCTCGTTGACATGCTGAAATTCATTAGTGGCTACATGAGTGTGTGTGTGTAACAGAACTTACGTCCGTTACTCCAACAATTTGTGATTGGTTAAGCCAAAGGATTTTAACTTTCCATCCAGCCTTTTTGGGACAGAAAGCTTGTCAAGATCATTCAATTCCGGTTGGTTTGTAGCGGTAGAAATGCCTTAAAAAAAAAAAGCATTATGCTTCACATGTTGCTTTGCTGTTGCAAAGAAGCAAATTATTGAGGACCGCAAAGAGCTGACGGCACATTTGTGAAAGGAGGCTTCTCAAATTGGCAAAAGGCGGTGTAAATATTTAGAGAGCATGAAAATCGTGTTTCCATCTTGAAGCTCTGAACAAGATTGCTGCATTAAGTAGCACACCAATCAATCCTCTGATGTCTGATATTGTGGAAAAAGAACAAAAGACTGTTTAGATGGTTCTGGAGATGACTTTCTGGTTGATCAAACTTGGCAGCTTATGCTGGAGCGCACATATTCAATACCTGCAGCCTGCTCAGAAGGGAGTCCTGGATGTCAGATCCAGTGCAAAATGAAATACTGGAGCGCTTTGCACATGCGGTTCATCGCAAGATAGTAGCTGCGGCATCTGACTCTCATTACTATGGACTGACCGGTGACGGAACAACGGACACTGGGTCATCTGAGTAGTTCTCTTGTCTCTTATTTTACGTGGATCCTACCCTTTCCCAGCAGAGTGTATATTTGGGGTTTTATAATGCACCTGACACAACATCAGAAACCCTCTTTCTCTGCATCAAGGACATCTTCTTGCGACTGAACCTTGCTTTGGAAAAACTACAAGGCTACTGTTTTGATGGTGCCAGTAACATGTCCAGTCGCTTCATGTCCAGTCTCGATCAGAAATCGAGCGCAAGTTTGACCAAATTATCGTGGATGCTGCAGAGGGGACAGTGCGCCCTGAGTTCCCTTCAGCTTCCCATTAACATTGACAGAGCCAGTCTTTCTCCGCACTTTGATGCCTGAAAACTTGGCTCTGTAACACTGACACCCAGAAGAGATTGATGTCAAATGGCATTACTACATGTCCACAGAGACATTTTGGATCATATTAATATTCAGGACCTCATGAGAGACTTTATCAGCATCACTCCAGTGCACAAGTCCACGTTTGGAGTGCCAAAATCTTCATAAGGTAAGATGCTGTTTTTATAGTGTGCACTTGTTGTTTACTCCCATTGATGGTTGTGATTTGTGGCATAATCTTAAATCACTGCAGAGGGTTTTGCAGAATGTGGCCCATTGCTTTAAGTCGTTTTAAGTTGGTAGCTTTGATGTTTACAATATTTAGTTTAAGTTGGCAGGTTTTCTTTCTATCTGCTCTTCAAAATATTTACCATTGCCCATTAATTCAGCAGTTGTAAGAATAAAAGTTATTGAACTGATGCATGCTGTTTCTGATAACTGGGTTACAGATGATTTTGTTTGATTTGTGCATTGCATAAGCCTATTGGCCTATTGTGGATTTGTCAAGATAGGTTTCACAATTCAGTGTCTTTCTGTGTGCATTGTACAGATATTGTTTTATGTGAGAAAAGCAAAAATGGGTTGAGAGTTCATGGTGATGAGTGTGATTGTAACATTGTATAATTATGTGGTTTATCATGGAGTGTAGTTGTTATAATCCTAGAGTCTCCGGACCTCTAGGTAGCTTTTAATAATTATACAATTATTACTAGTGATCAGTTAGTTAATAATCGCTCAATTATCTTAAATCAATCAGTCAGTCTCATATCTAAAGGGTCAATTCTCTTGGCAGGAATGTAGAAATAGGCAACACACACAGTTCTTGATTATATTACAGTGACTTTATTCTCGAAATAATGCGATATAAAAGGGTGGTTAAATACCGGGAAAATAAACAATTGCTGAACAATGATAAATGGAGGTTCGATTGTGGGAAGCATTTGACTCATACGGCATAGGAGAACTAATGAAAGTAAGCTAACGTTATGAGTTTAGGAGTTAAAAGGAAATCTCTGACCACAGAATGTTGGTTAGGTCTTACGGCTTGTCGACGGCCTGCTTTGGCCTGTTGCACGGGTCCCACGCTAGCTGCTCGATCCTGGCACGGACTGATAACTTTAACAAAACAAAAGAAAGAAAGAAAATAAAACAAACTGAGGGGCAGATCGATGTCGCGGCACTTCGCGTGTGTAGCTTCAAGCGAACAAAGGGCTGGGCGAACTCTTAGGGCGTTGCCTGGCGGGGCACGCCAGACGCGTGCCGAAGTGTTCAGAGGGCAGAGCGAGCCGAGAGAGAGGAGAGAAGAGCAGAAGAGAAGCGAGAACGAACGCTCTTTTGTTGTCTGGGGCGTGGTTCCCCAGAGGGTGTTTCAGGTTTCCCGAGAGACTGCCTTTCTAAACTTAATGTCTAAAAGAAAAGAAATCTATTTGCGCGTATTATAATCAAATATTTTCCACAATCGAACCTCAATGGTCAAACGGTTGTACCATTCTAAGTTAAGCATTTGGTAACAGGAAACAATTGTCACATTACTGGTCAGGATATTTATACATTTAACGGCATTTCCAACGAGGGTATGTAATACTTATTTCGTCCACTTGGGGGAGCTCAGGTTACATGAGGAAAGCTTAGATTAATCCAAGATCATCTCTCCTTAGGAACCGGGAAATTTAGTTATTCATCCTTAAATTCAAGCTGGCGACTAAGACTATATTTATCATCATTTCTAAAGGAATTTTGTAGGAAAGTATTATGAACAAGCATTGATTACATTAGATGAGGGAGTGTCTTGCTGAAAATAAAAACACTGCAAAAGTAACTTATTTAGATTCTTTTCAGCACTAATATCAACAACAGATAGCAACAACATGTTAACATAACTACTCAAATAGAGGCAAACATAATCAAGTAACTAAGATTTAATTAAACTTAATTAAATGCTCTGAGTCTTTGGAGACTGCAGTCTTTGCTTAATTAAAGTTCGGCTTCCTGGATTATGTCAGACTTGGGTGAGACAAGGGGTATCCCTTTGATGGGGTAATGAAACACAGAGCAAGGTCAATTGCCACGGTTACATGTGTGTATGTCCAGTTTTTTTTTGGCTGTTCAGGGAAATTCTAATCGCTGGTTCGTGTCCCTTTTGTCAGTTTAACAGTCAGGCCCCATGTTATCAGCTTCAGAATCAAAAAGGTGCCAGTTTTATGGTCAGGAATAGCACTTAGAGAAAGCAACCCCCCCCCCCCCCCCCCCTTCCGTTGGGGTCTCCCCAGCAGTCCGTTGAAAGTTGATCTGTAACACCCCCTGCTCCTCTGTGGGAGAAAAAAGGAATTTGGAGTAGCTCCAACTTTATTCCATATAAAATGCACAAATCCACACCGTTGTTTCACTACAAAGTTACTTCTGCATGGCATCACTTTTCAGATCCATGAAAGAAACAGACACTCATGTATGTGCAATTTGCCAAAGAGTGCCAAGACCCGTTGGCGTCAGTTTGAAACGCACTGGGGATCTCCATAGCGGCATAGTTCACTGCTCTGGGGAAGCCCTGTTCTGTCACTTCTGAATGGTTAAGGTAGGTATATGATATTTAACAGAAAAGACCAAGTAAGGAGGTGGCTGGTGCAGACAGAAAGGCCAGAAACAAAAAGTCAACATTAAACATTATTATTATTTTATTGAAGTTGTGTAGGTAACGTAAGATGTGTAAGTTAAGCAAGTAACGTTACTTATCTTGCATAAGTTAACTGATGTATGTAACATAGTTATTCTGACACAAAGCATAATATTTTCCTAAACCTAACCAAGTACTTTTTGTGATGTTTCACAACGTTAATGTACCGTTACAAAATGGTGATATTTTGCAACAAAATAATAATAATAAAAGTACTTTTGTTTTGAAAATCTAAGTGGACATTGCATCTTGTTTGTTGCTAACTTGACCTCTGAGCCCTAGACGTTGAAAAACTACACTAAAGAGGTACCCAGGGCGTTACAAAGCAATGCCAAAGGGTCTTCACCAAGCGTCTATATGTGACGAGTTGGGAGTGTGCCTGAGGAATGTGTTGGAAGAATGTGTTAACATTAAGCATAGACCATTTCTTGCAATTATTGCAATGCAATACAGCAAATAATAATGTTACTAGTTACACCTGTGTGTAACATGTCTAAATGTATGTCTTTTCAATGTTGGTTTCACTCCACATTTTTCCATGTGTGCATTGAGACAAGAGAAAGAGAGAAATTAGTAGACAGGCAGTCAGTGGTTTTCACTGTGAACTGCTGTGTATTTGTCGACCACAACTTCCCACTAGAAGTATCCAAAAATACACAAAAATACACATACGATGTAAACAACGTTAGGGAATATCCACTCACATTAAAAATCCTCTGTATTTCTGGTCTCACAGCACTTTGTAAAGGCCTTCTACATGCCTGTCCAACAAGCAAAACCACATGCAACAGCTACACTAACAGCTGTGGTGGGCTGTTTCTCTGCCCTTTGACCAACCATCAAGGCTGTTTACTCAAAACAGACCTGTGCTTCAACAAGATATGTAGTGAGGAAAGAGCTGCACAAAGCTTCATCAGGTTAATTTTAGTTGAGCAAACTGAAATGATTGATTTTGTTTTTGATTATTAACATTCTCATTTAAAGTACAAATATTGTAGATTGTGTTTTTAAATATGCAACCAAAGGCATCTACAACCATATGCATTTTTAATCTTAGAATATACAATAGTTATATTAGTTCATGTTTTATTTTAATGTTAATGTATTCATTTATTGACCATTATTTTTTACAGCCTGCCACTTCATCACTGCACCAAGTGACTTTACCAAGGCTGTCAGATCGTTTTGCAGATAATCAGGAAATTTAAATTTAGATCAAGATGCTCTTCACAAAAATAGTGGGGTGGGACAAATGAATGATTAGCACCTCCCCCCCTGACAGCAACTACCAATGAAAAGCAACAACCTACAGAAAGGTTCAATAAACACAGTCATGACTTCGCGTGACTGGGTAAGTGTGTGTAACAATATAGTATTAATATTACAAAGAGGATGCTCTATATACAAAATTGCAGTGAGATGACTTTTGGTACGAATTGGTGCTACATAAATAAAATTGAATTGAATTGTGATTCGACTTGCCTTTTTAAAACAGGTAAAACAGCAGTTAAACCCAGCTTCCTGAGGCTAAAATAGAGATGAAAGTAAAGCCCCTCTGTGTTAAGACCTTAGTTTGAAGCAAAACCACAACAGTGCTTAAGTTTCCATCCACCATTCTTTTTGTCACAGTGAGTGCGTGTTCATTCTTTGACTGTTTGTGTGTGAAAGTACAAAGCAGGAAACAATATACATCAAAGTATTTACTGCAGGGCTTTTGTTTTGAGTAGTATGTGTATAGGGGCTGGACATAGAATTGTGTCAGGAACTTGTTAACTTAAATATATGGTAAATTTTTATGTGTCAGCTGAATGTCTGTATATCTGTCTCTGTGTGTGAAAGTACAAAGCAGGACATGAAATGCTTTACTGCAGGGCTTTTGTTTTAAGTGATATCCCTCAGACAAAAAAAAATATGCATGTTAGAAACTCTTAATCGCTTCACGTTGACTGCGTTCCTGTTATAGCGGGAGAGTACTGCTACCTTTGACCAGCCTCCTGAAAAGAAGCCAAGCAACTCCAGAGAATAAGAACTAGAATCCATACACATATGAGGAATTTCACTCAGGATTGTACGTGGCTCATGATGTGCTTACTCATACAATAATACAATGACATAATAATAAAAACACAGGCTACAGTATAGAGAACACCAATATACACACTATAAACAAAAACAATATAGACAGTGCAGTGAGCAGAGTGCAAAGGATGCAGGAGTAAATTATTATTAGCCTTATTATTATTATTATTATTATTATTATTATTATTATTATTATTATTATTATGTACATGTCAGAGGTGGATGTGATAAACAAGTACACATACACATAGACATGTACACAGTGTGATGGAGCATAGTGCAAAGGATGCTGGAATAAATAAGTATTATGTGCAGGTGTTATTTACTTGAGGTAGGTGGATTTGGTATACAGTATATACAATATGAAAATGTAACAGTATGAATAGCTCTGAAATAGTGAATGATGAATAAATAATAAAGTGGTAACCAGTAAACAGGTAGTTGATTAGAGACAGAGTTAGATGTTTCCATCTAATTGTCATGCGAATTTTAAGCGTACTTTTGAAATGTCCTAAAAAAAAAATTGCAAAATATTTGCATTTCCATCAGCTGGTTTGAAGCGAATAAACCAAGCTATTAGTTATGTCAGTAGTTGACATTACACATGGCTGTAATAAACAAGATGTATCAAACCAGAAACAAATCGCATGAACCTGATGGCCATTGATCTTGAATGCAAAATGGAGAGAGGTCCTCAGAAATGTGTTTCAAGCGGGCAAGTTGCCAGCCATGTCTCTGCACATTATGGGAATATCCAGTGTTATAACGAGTTTTGCATGCTTGCCAACAATTGCATGCACCTCCAAATAATGTTTTTAAACACTATAATATCCTTTGTGGGGTTCATCAATGGTGATAAATGATTTGAATTATATATTTTATGAATATTTAGTGTCGTTAATATTTTATTACACTCTGTAGAAGTAGCATTCATTGAGATTCAACAAAAATATGCGGTGATAAACCCGTTTGATCAGTGTGCAGAGCAAAGGATCTGAAAAGGACCTTTAAGAGGTGAATGCATGATTCGTCAGAACAGATGATGAAGGCTACCTGCCGAGATTTGCATCCACCTCTTTTCTCAGCACAAATGAGCGGTACCAGCCGCGAGGTGCATGAAATGCTCGGCAGCGATGCAGAACTCTGCACAAGTGTGCAAGACGCCAACAGCAGAAACAGCTAACTTTGCTATGTCAGAACCTTTTCGGAAAAAGTGTTTCCATCTCGCATTTAGCGCATTTACTCTTTTTCGACAAAGGCAAAAACACCTCAAGTGAGAGTAAAAGCTTTTTTGCGAAATTAAATTTTTTTTATTGAATATTGCCGTTTCCATCAAACTTTCAAATGCGATACTTCAAAATGTGCATTAAAAAACATTGATGGAAACACAGAAACAACGGCTGATTTCTGACTCACAGTAGTCAGAAATCAGCCATTCATTAGAGTGATGGCTTGTGGGAAGAAACTGTTCCTGAGTCTGTTGGTTTTGGCGTACAGGATGAATAGTTTAACAGCCCTCCCCAGCTCTCGTAATGCTGCGCTCTTCCTGCTGATGTGACTGACAGGGGGGCGGATCATCATTGATGATGTAGAGCATCTGAAGAGGCTGGCTCACACAGTAGTTAAGATGGCTTCTCTGTTTTATGAATCACTGCAAATGGCGGCATACCTGTTTTGTGCACACAAATCAAACAGGTTAATTTGATCTCTGTTAAACTAAGTGGTAGCAGGGTTGTACATTACATTACATTAATTCATTTAGCTGACACTTTTATCCAAAGCCACTTACAATTGCTATATATGTCAGACGTTGCACACCTCTGGAGCAACTAGGGGTTAAGTGTCTTGCTCAGGAACATATTGGTGGATGCGTCACAGTAGGCAATAAACCCGGGTCTCTCACACCGAAGGAATGTATGTGTCTAATCCACTGCTCCATCACCACCAATTAAAACTTTTGATTTGGGGACATAAGGTCCATACTCTGTATTACACGTGAAACATTTTTAATCAAAGGTTATTATATCTCTCTAAAATGACCACTTATGTAGTGAAAAACATTGTCAAACTTGGGGTCTAAAATTAACCTTTTTCACTGCGTGCCACTGTGGCAGGCTGTTCATTTTATGTCTACCACAAATTGTATGTACCATATAATGTATACGCTAAATAAAACAATAATATACAGCTCATTTAGGCATACTTTAATGTAAATAATGCCTTTCAATGTCCAGTAATACAAAGAAAATATTACAAGCATGTTTGCATGCACAAAGGACCCCTGTCTTTTAGTACAAGATCATTCCACCTTACTTTACAATAACAACCAGGTATAGTAAAGGTACCAACAGATAACAAGAAACACAAACCACACAAGAATTTGAGGTTCACCACAATATATTACAGAAAGTGCTAAATGCATAACCCACTGTTCAACCCCCACTGAATGAGCCTTATCTCAGTTCAAATCTCTACAATATCTTCTCTAAATCAAAATTTCAGTGATATAATTAAAAGAAGAAAATGTTGATCTGATATTGAGTTTGATCTAATTTAGTCTTACAGCAATTATGCAAGTATTGAAGCCACACTTTACTAACAAAGCTACAGGATAACCAGAAATTTTCGTTATGTTTAGAGCTAACAATGGCTGTTTAGATATATAAATCCTACAAGGATTTAATGTTAATTTATGTTCTAGACATCCAAAATGTCAAACACAGTGCAGGTTCATACAGAGAAATAGTTTGTAGTAAAGCAGCTGTCATCCTGATAAATCCTGAACTCCATCAGAGTTGTCTAAAGAAGTTATGTCAGGGGCTAAAAGTTCTGTTTCCTCTAGAGAGTTTCCTCAGTCTTTCCTGTTTATAACTAAAGTTTTTAGTTTTGCTGCTTAAATGTCCCATGATATTTGCTGTGACATCATTAAACACGTAAAAAAACAAACAAAAAAAACACTCATCAACACTCATCAATACAACACACAATAATAATGGATGATAGAAATGTGACCCCCAACCCCTTCATTATACTTTATAATGCAGTGCAGTGAGGACACAGACATTTCAACAGAACTGTAGAGTAGCAGAGTAGGCTTTATGATCAAAGAAAGTTTTTATATCACGTCAACACTTCTGTCTATATTCACGGTCCTTCTCTCTAGCTCTTCCACATGAGCTCCTTATCTTTCATTCTATCTCTCTCTCTCTAATAGGGAAAAAATCTGGGTATGTGTTAAATCAGCAACAATTTGAAATACTAAACAGAAGAACAGTGAAGAACATCAACTAGACATAAATTTACTATGTAAATAAACAAAAATAAATTTAAAAAACAGTTCTCTTAAGACCAGCCTAAGTAAGCAAAAATAAATAAAACAATAAAATCTTCTCTGAAGACCACTCACAAAATAAACAATAGTTGATAAATTCAGTTAACCACACATTTTTGTGGAAATGCATCAATTAAGTTTGAAGTACTTTATCAGGAACACCATCATGTCCACATTCTCAGGTGAGCGGCTTGCTCTCCGTGAAAATGTCCCCTGTAGAAGAGAAAACCCTCACAGTGGGGGCAGATGTTGCTGGACTCCAACTTAGCTAAATGGGAACTGCACCTCCTCTTCCACCACTCAAGTTCAGCAATTTCAGACACAAAGTTAATTTTTGATAAAATGACCCGCTACCCTGTACGCAGGATAAGCGGTTGACGATGGATGGATGGATGGATGGATGGAAGTTAAAATGACCACCTGAGCCACCTAAAGAAGTTAGCTCTAGATCTGTGTAATATTAATATATAATAATTGCACAGTCTGTAGTATGATACATGATAAATACACAGTATTTACCCAAACACCTATCGAAATAGGTGTGTCTTTCAGGCTGACCTCCTCATGAGATTGATTTCTGCATTTGACAAGGGCAACCCAAAACACACATAGGCTCTGGCCCATGTGAGGCAAAACCATCTCATTTGGAGAGGGAGCATATGTTCAGCCTGGCTTTCATCTACTCTGAAGGACACACTTCATAGGCCCTGGCCTTTGATACAGCCTATGAATCTTTCCTCTCAAATACAGATTTGCTGCCTAAAGTCCAGGCTCAAAAAAAAAATCCCTCATAGAAAGACATGTGTGTTCAAAAGAAAAGTGAAAAGTAAACAATTTTGACATTGGCTATGTAGGATGAAAAAGAGGTGCTATGTACAAAGACCAGTACGAGACCAGTGTGACAGGAAGTGCACTTTACATACTCTGTGATAACCAATGAGATGCATTGGATGGTCTGATGTATCACGGCCATCTCACCTCCTTCACTCAGTGAAATACCAACAAGTTTCTTAACTAGAGACAATGGCAAGATGATCCTGTTATGGGTTACACTGCTTGTTCTTCATCAAGGATGTAAGTGTTATTTATTTATTTTTATAATTTAGCTTCATAACTTTTCCACATCATACACTAACTATTTTATATATTGTATGTTTTCATTTCATTCAGATGCCTTAGTTCCAGTGACCACTGTTCAACTCGGTGACTCTGCGACCTTCACGTGTGTTTTGCCTAATGAAGAGCTGAGCAGTAGAAAGCTCCACTGGTACAAGCAGCGTGCCGGGGATACTCTGAAATTAATTATGACACTGTGGAAATCTGCAAAACCTGAGTATGCACCAGAGTTTTCTGAATTAAGATTAAAGGTAAATACTGCTAAGAATATTAGCAACCTGACCATTTTGAGGACAATTCAAGAGGATGAGGGAATGTATCACTGTGCAATAACAGCATGGATTAATCCCGAATGGAGTGGGACATATCTGTTAGTAAAAGGTAATTGTGTGATCTACTTTTACAAAGTTTTAAACTGTCATTAAGCATGTTACATTTGATCTGTTTTGTATCACACAGGAGACACTCAGAGGACATCAAACTATACTGTCATTCAGGGGACAACAGTATCTGATCCAGACCGTCCAGGAGACTCGATAACTGTTCAGTGTTCAGTCCTCTCTGACTCTGACAACAAGACGTGTCCAGGAGATCACAGTGTGTACTGGTTCAGAGCCGGATCAGATAAATCTCATCCAGACATCATTTACACTGATGGAAATGGACGTGATGAATGTGACAAGAGATCTGACTCTCAGAAAAGCTGTGTTTATCGCTTCTCTAAGAACGTCAGCTCCTCTGATGCTGGAACTTACTACTGTGCTGTGGCCACATGTGGAGAGATATTTTTTGGAGAAGGAACTAAAGTGGACATTCATGGTAACTGCATCATTAATATCCCTTTTGTAATTAGACTAACCCATAAAATCAAATAAAATTTTGATTAATTAAGTATTTATTATTCTCCCTGGTGTAGAGTAAGTAAGATGCTCAAATAAAATTAATTTAATGATGCAAAATGCTAAATCATTTAAAGATGAGGGGAAATTAAAAATAATTTACTTTTATTCATTACTAACATTCATTGTTTTTAACTTTTGATAATGTTCCAGGAGCCATTTGGTCACAAAAGGCCAGTGCAATTCTAATCCTGCTGTGTGCTGTCTTGGCTATAAGTCTGATTGTTATAGCCTTCCTCATTTACGGCATGAAAACAAGCAAGTTCGATTGTTCCAATGGTAATAGAAGTCACTCATAGTTAAATTAAAACTAAAGTTAAAGTGCTGCATACTTTTTTATGTCATTATCTATTTTGTTTTCTCAAAATTCAGCTGCTGTTGTCCTGCAAAAAAACTGCTTCAGTCTGAAAAGTCAACAGGTAATGAATTTAAAGTTGGGAATCATCTTATTAAACCATTTATGAAGCTTTATGAGAACTTTGTCATCTCATATATTTTCTCAGAGAGATGAGGACACATGGATTTATTCTGCTGTCGTCTTCGGCATGATGAAAGCTGACTGTGCAATAAAGGATGCTAAAGCAGCGGAGAGAGAGAGGATCTACGCTGCTGTCAAGGCTTTTGGGTTGGATTAGTGAGTTAACAGGTCTGTTTGTCATCAGTTAGTGCTCTATGATCCAGTTAATGTTAGTCTGTAGTAGAAATCTCTTCTGTTAACATGGACATTGTTGTCTTATTACCCCTAAAGTTATGGCAAATTTATGGTGATGGACCGAATATCAGAGAGGTTTACAGATTTTAAATTAGAGAATAAGAATGTGGTATACTGGATTATTATTATTTTGATCCTAACAATAATTTGGATCAGTAATCAGTATCAGCCAGTACCCTGTAACGAAACTGGTATTGGGAGAGAGAAAGTCTGATTAGATGATATTTGAAATTAAGTTTATTGCATCATGAATGACTTTTTTTTGGAGAAAGAGACTGTATGGCCATAATATTTATGCATGTTTCTCTGTATTGTTTTTGTTGTGTGACCCCGCAAAATATTTGTTAACAAACAAAACTGTGTCATAGCGTTGCTACTGCTGCCATTGTGCAAAAACAAGTATTGTTTTTTCTGGAGATTTCCAAAGACTTGCCAGAATTACAGAATCCATCTATCCATCCAACCATTATCTTCAACCGCTTATCCGTAATGGGGATGGACTGGATTTCAGAATCTAATACTTAAATAATTCGACAACAACAGCATTTCTTTACTAATTGCTGAAGATACAGTTACTTCATATCCATTTTCAGCACTAGAAGCAAATGATCATCCACAAACATGTTAACAACATGTCCTTTTACGCTAAAATATAAAGCCTTCAGAATGTGTGTACATATGGTGGATATGGTTACTTCTGTCATAGCAGTGTGATTTTTGTCATTCTCTTATTAAAGGATACAGAAGAACGAACAACAGACTTTAATCGCATTTTAAGTTGTTTTTTTGTCATTCCTGTGATGTGCCTGATACAGTTTCAGTGCTCAACTGAGCTTTGAGCAGTCAAGGGTGCTTTGATCAAGGGCAACTATGCTAATTTGTATTCACATGTCATGGCACATTTCATCTGAAGTTAGATGTTATATATTTCTTGCTTATTAAACAGAGTACGGTCTAAACCTGCTCTATATGAAAAGTGCAACAAGATAACTTTTCTTATGAATTGGCACTATATAATTAAAAATTTAATTAAATTGAACAGGACATTGTGGTGGGACATTACTCGGGCTGAAAGGATGAATTTTCTTTCCAACATTCTTCCAAACAAAATCAACATCTAACTAGCAAAAGAGGTTGAGCAGATTCTTCCAGTATGTTAGTAGTAGTAGTGTTGCCAAGTTTTCTTCCACCTAGAGTAACTCTTTTTTTAGTCCGCTGCAATGATAATTTTACTTGGGTAAAGTATTTGATTATTTCCACCAATATCATATTTTTTTGAATAGACACACAAATGTACAGCATGTTGTTCCAAAGAAGACATAGGGATAAATTTTCCAAATAATCCATCATTTGGATGTAATATAAACTGTTGTGGAAACACCAACCATCTAATTAGATGGATAAAGATATTATGGCATTACTACCCCCTTAACATAGTACCTCACAATGGGGTCTAATGGCAAAACACTGTTAAAACTGTGTTTGTGCTAAAGTAGGCTAAAGTTTGTGTGTGAATAACACATGCAAAACTGGATAAATATCTTACTGACAACCAGATAGATTTTTGAGAAGGTTTAATATTTACCAAAATCAACACTAACCTTTTGGCTAGCTAAAAACAGGCTTAAAACAAAACTTAGTTAACGAACCCCTAATAAACTTTTTAAAAGGTGCTGGTTAAATGTACACAGTGCAGTGGATGCAGTCACTCCATCCTGATTGACAGGTCACTATGATAGCATCTTGTCAATCACAAGGTAGTCCCACCCTAAAGCATATTTTGCTTTATGGACTGTTTTCTGTTAAATGTGACCATAATTTTCTAACTGAACATTATGCTGTATTAAAGAAGACTTGAAAGTAACGACCGAGACCATACACTCATTGGGAAAGTGTTTAATAAATGAATCAGTAATAAATCAGGTGAGAAGTAGGGTCATTTAAGCATTAATTCTTCCCGCTTTGCAGTAGCCTGTGGGTTGGAGGGACATTTGCAGAGGAAACGTGACAGGAAAGGTTTCCAAAACCACACAGAAGAGCAAGGGAAGTTGGGCATTCAAAGGTAAGAGTGTTTGTAAAAGAAAGAGACACACATGTATGTGCTATTTGTCATGGAGTGCTGCAATTTTATCAACCTAAACTGATGATGAATTACACCAAGTAGAAATTTATTGAGTTTTATACAAAAGGCAAAAGTCTACCCTGACAGTGAACCCAAAACCATGATACACTTTTAGGATTTCACAGACATGTTTACTAGGGTGGCATGGTGATGCAGTGGTTAGCACTGTCGCTTCACAACAAGAATGTCGCGGGTTCAAACTCTGGTTGCCCCGGTCTTTCTGTGTGGAGTTTGCATGTTGTCTGCGTAGGTTCTCTCTGGGTGCTCTGGCTTCCTCCCACCATCCAAAGACATCCAGACTAGGTTAATTGCTGACCCTAAATTGTCCTTAGGTGTGAGCATGAGTGGTTGTTTGTCTATGTGTGGCCCTGCAATAGACTGGCAACTAACATTACTTATCTTACATAAGTTAACTGATAGTGCAAAGTGTAAAGGCCTTCTACGTGTCTTACAACAAGCAAAACCAGCAGCTACACTACCAGCTGTGGTGGGCCGTTTCTATGCCCTCAGACCAACCATCAAGGCTGTTTACTCAAAACAGACCTGTGCTTCAACAAGATATGTAGTGAGGAAAGAGCTGCACAAAGCTTCAGCAGGTTAATTTTAGTTGAGCAAACTGAAATGATTGATTTAGTTTTTGATTAATAACATTCTCATTGTGTTTTTAATTTTGCAACCAAAGGCATCTACAACCATATGCATTTGCAATCTTAGAATATACAATAGTTATATTAGTTCATGTTTTGTTTTAATGTTAATGTATTAATTTATTGACCATTATTTTTTATAGCCTGCCACTTCATCACTGCACCAAGTGACTTTACCAAGGCTGTCAGATCGTTTTGCAGATAATCAGGAAATTTAAATTTAGATCAAATTCCTGCTCTTGACAAAAATAGTGGGGAGGCACAAAAGAATGATTAGCACCTCCCCCCGACAGCAACAACTCATAGAAAAGTTCAATAAACACAGTCATGACTTGGCGTGACTGGGTAAGGGTGTTTGTGTGTTGAACCTCTTGTTCCCTCTTGTAACCTGTTCTACATACAAAATTGCAAGACAACTTTTGGAATGAATTGGTGTTATATAAATACAATTGAATTGAAATGAATTGTGATTCCACTTAGCTTTTTAAAACAGGTAAAACAGCAGTTAAACCCAGCTTCCTGAGGCTAAAACAGAGAAGAAAGTAAAGCCCCTCTGTGTTAACACCTTAGTTTAAAGCCCAACCACAACAATGCTTAAGTTTCCACCCATCATTCTTTCTTAAGTTTCCACCCATCATTCTTTTTGTCACTGTGAGTGCGTGTTCATTCTTTGAGTGTTTGTGTGTGAAAGTACAAAGCAGGAAACAAAGTATATGAAAGTATTTACTTCAGGGTTTTTATTTTGTGTAGTATGTGTACAGGAGCAGGACACAGCATTGTGTCTGGGTCTCATTTATTTAACTAGAATGTTAAGTTTTTATGTCTCAACTGAATGTCTGTCTATTTGTGTGAAAGTACAAAACAGGACACAAAGTACATCAAAGGATTTACTGCATGGCTTTTGTTTTAAGTGACATCCCGTAGATAAAAAAAATATGCATGTCAGAAACTCTTAATCACCTCACGTTGACTGCGTTCCAGTGATACTGGGAGAGTACTGCTGCCTTTTACCAGCCATGTGAAAAGAAGTCGAGCGAGTACAGAAGATGGCTGGTTTAACAGCCCTCCCCAACTCTGCATGCTGTGTTTTTCCTGCTGATGTGACTGACAGGCAGAGTGGGCGGGTCATCATTGATGATGTGTAACATCTGAATTGGCTGGCTCGCACAGTATTTAAGATGGCTCCTCTGCTTTGTAAATCACTGCAAATGGCTGTGTACATCTTTTTTAAATGTACACAAATCAAACAGATCAATCAAATCCCTGTTAAACTTAAAGTGGTAGCATTATTGTAGGATTAAAATTTTTTATTTGGGGACATATACTGTATTTACAGATACTGTAATGTATTACATGTGAAGCATTTTTAATTAAAGGCTATTGGTATCAATACTCTCTCTAAAATGACTGCTTATGTAGTGAAGAAAATGGTTATACTTGGGGTCTAAAATTAACTTTTTTCACTGTGTGCAAATGTGGCAGACAATTGTTTATTGTCTTCCACTCAGAAATTTTATCTGCCACTGAAAGCGGGCTGGCTGGCTCAGGTGAGTCCTTAATCATCCCTTAGTTATACTGCTATGGGCCTAGACTGCCAGGGGACTTCCCATGATGCACTGAGCTCCTCCTCTTTCTCTCCCTCACTATGCAACCTCATTCCATTAATGCATGTTACTAACTTGACTTCTTCCCTTTTCCCTAGTCTTAGGCTTTCTCGTCCCTCTCCTCTCTCCTCTTGTCACTTTCTGCAGGTGTTTCTGGCTCTGGAGCTGTGGAGTCTGGATCTGTGGTTGCGGGTCACCTGCTACCTCCCTGTTCCTGCTCGACATCCTCTGCTACAACTGTTATTACTAGTCCTATTGTTATTATTATTGTTATTATTATTATTATTAACATTACTATAAAAATCTGTACATTTATTCATTCAGTCAACATTACCTTTACTGTCTGTACCTCTGTTTGTATATTGTGTTGGCTGTTCCCACCCTACCCTCCATCCCTATCACCCTCTCTCTCTCTCTCTCTCTCTCTCTCTCTCTCTCTCTCTCTCTCACCCCCAATAGGTCGAGGCAGATGGCCGCCTACCCTGAGCCATGGTTCTACTCGAGGTTTCTGCCTCTTAAAAGGAAGTTTTTCCTTGCCTCTGTCGCCTAGTGCTTGCTCATGGTGGGAATTGTTGGGTTTCTGTAAATAACATCACATAGTACAGTCTAGACCTGCCCTTTTATGAAAAGCGCTATGAGATAACTGTTGTTGTGATTTGGCGCTATATAAATAAAATTGAATTGAACTAAGGGTACTGGCGACCTGTCCAGGGTGTACCCTGCCTTTCGCCCAATGTCAGCTGGGATTGGCTCCAGCCCTCCTGCGACCCTGTACGCAGGATAAGGGGTTGACAATGGGTGGATGGATGAACTAAGGGTGATGATTTATCAAATGCAGTTTGTACACGCCCACACAGTTCTGAGAAGAGGTATAAACGTCATTTTTATAACTAGAAACATGATCATGCCTCTCTCTATTAGTCTCCATCCAGCAGCTCCAGCCAGACACCACCCAACCCACACAGAGGCCGTAGCCGAAATTGTTGACCTTCGGGAAAATCCCACTCTTCTATACGCCTAACTTCCAAACGGCTGGCCCCTCAATACCCAACCCGCAGGCCCCGGATAAGTCTCCTTGCTATGCTACAAACAAAGAAATTTTTAGATAAACATCAGTGAAAGACAAGTTTGTTCAAAAGAGAAGTTTAAAGGATAAAGTTAATAATCTCAGCATTGGCTATCAAGGATGAAAGAGAGGTAATATGCACAAAGACCAGTGCGAGACCAGTGTGGCAGGAAGTGCATTTTACATATTCTGTTATAACCAATGAGATGCATTTGATGGTGTGATGTATCACAGCTTACCTCCTTCACTCACTGAAATACCAACAAGTTTCTTGACAAGACGCAATGTCAAGATGATCCTGTTATGGGTTACAATGCTTGTCTTTATCAAGGATGTAAGTGCTATTTTATTATTTTTATTTAAGAATTTATATGCCAACTGGACAACTTTGCATCATATCCATTCCACATCATACAATTACTGTTTTATATATTGTATGTTTTCATTTCATTCAGATACATTGGTTCCATTGACCACCGTTGAACTTGGTGAACCTGCGACCTTAACATGTGTTTTGCCTAATCAAGAGTTGAGCAGTAGAATACTCCACTGGTACAAGCAACAAACAGATTGGACTGATTCTGGTGATGGAGTGGGACATATCTGTTAGTAAAAGGTAATAGTGTGATCTACTTTTACAAAGTTTTAAACTGTGTACTGGTTCAGAGCCGGAATAGATAAATCTCACCCAGACATTTACACTGATGGAAATGGACATGATGAATGTGAGAAGAGATCTGACTCTCAGAAAAGCTGTGTTTATCACGTCAGCTCCTCTGATGCTGGGACTTATAACTGTGCTGTGGCCACATGTGGGAAAATATTATTTGGAGACAAAACTGGACTTTCAAGGTAACTATTATTATCACTTCCGTAATAAGACTTTTAAATGCATAAAATCTGTTTTTTGATTAATAATTTATTCTTCTCCATGGTGTGTAAGATATTAAATAAAATTCATTAAGATGCAAAATCATTTAACAAGGAGGGGGACATTTAAAATAATTTACTTTTATTCATTGCTAACGTTCATTGTTTTTAACTTTTGATAATGGTCCAGGAGCCATTTGGTCACAGAAAGGAAATGCAATTATTTTCCAGCTGTGTGCTGTCTTGGCTTTAAGTCGGATTGTTATTGCCTTCCTCATTTACACAATGAAGACAAGCAAGTTTGATTGTTCCAACAGTAATAGAAGTTACTCAAAGTTCTCTATTAAATGAAAACTAAATTAAAAGTACTGCATCTTTTTGTATTGTTATCTATATATTATATTTCTTAATGTTCAGCTACAGTCGTTCTGCAACAAAACAGTGGTTATCAGAAAAGTCAACAGGTAAGGAATTTAAAATTGTGATTAATCTTATTAAACCAGTTATGAAGCTTTTTTAACTTTATCATCTCATGTATTTTCTCAGAGAGATGAGGACACATGGATTTATTCTGCTGTCGTCTTCAGCTTGATGAAAGCTGACGGTGTAAAAAAGGATGCAAAAGCAGCGGAGAGAGAGAGGATCTATGCTGCTGTCAAGGATTTTCGTTTGGATTAGTGAGTTAACAGGTCTGTTTGTCATCAGTTGGTACTGTATGATATAGTTAATGTTAGTCTGTTTGGAGCTAAAGGGTTTGTTATACTGTCTGTGGCTATTTGGTAGTACTGTCTATGTTTTACTGTATATAATTTTTTTCAACGTCTAAAAAAAGTAGATTTTGTCTTTTTCATGCAAATGTGAACCCCCGTGTATTAGAGGTAAAGGTGCCAAATGTGAACTACATTGTCCAGTTCAAGTCTGGCTCGGGACCTTTATTGCATCTTTCTCCCGCATTTCCAATCATGTCTCTAATGGCTTTAATAAAGATAAAAAAATACCCAGAAATACACACAGTAAGGCTATTCAAATGTGTTTCTGTTAACGTGGACATTATTGTTACACCCCTAAAAGTTACAGGCAAATTTATGTTGATGGACCAAATATCAGAGAGGTTTACTGTTTTTAAAGTAGAGAAAACGAACAAGGTATACTCGATTATTATTATTATTTGGATCCAAAAATAATATGAATCAGTACTCAGAATCAGACAATACCCTGTATTGAAATTAGGATGGGGAGAGAGAAAGTCAGATCAGAGGATTTTAGAAAATAAGTTTATTGCATCATCATGAATGTCTTTTGTTTGGAGAAAGAGATCATTTTTGTATTTTATTGCTGAAGATGCAGTTACTATGTATCCATATTTAATGCCAGAAGCAAACACACATCCACAGACATGTTACGACATCTCTTCTTACAGAAATACTGTCTTAAGCGATTAATCGCTGAATTTCAATAGTTAATCACGATTAATCGCCTGTTTTATCACATGATTAAAATTCTATTATTACGATTATTATTATTAATATATTATTATTGTTATATATCTTAACTGTTTCAAGTTCGTATTAACAATGATAACAATTCTTGACAGTGTATCTTGATTGGAAATCAAATTAATGCAAAGAAAGATTTATTTGATTATTTCAAATCAAAAGATGTGCTACGAGGCTGAGGTAAAATAATCAATGTAAATTAATATAGTCTTCCTTAAGCTTGCTTTCAAAAATTCTAAAGCAAAAGTGCATGTACAAAATGTACACACATTATTATAAAGTGCATAACTAACAAAATACTCCATAGCTACATTATTTTTAAATTCAGTTGAAACCAATGAGATGAAATGATCTTTCAGAGTTGAAACAAACTGTCTATAAGAAATAAAGGCAGTTTCAACAAGTTCTGAAGAAGGTTCCAAGCAGAAGGTGCAGCAAACATGAAGGCTTTTTTACCTAATTCTGTTCGGACATGGAGGACCAACAAGTGGAAAACGTCCTTTGAACGTAATCCATAATGGCCTTGAGTACTTGTTAAAAAGATACTCAAAGAGGTAGGAGCTAGTCCAAGAAGTGCGTGAAACATCCAATGAGTGTACCTTCTAGCATAGAGAGAGGGCCATTTAGCTTTGTAGTAAAGGGTACAATGATGTGTCCTATAATTACAGCCAGTGAAAAAATGCAATGCACGATGGCTACAGCAGGAGGTAGCAGGTAGTAAGGGTGCGCTGAACGGTCAAAATAGCTTTTAGGCAAAGATTCTTTGGTAACAGCACCAGTGACGGTGTAATAAGAATATTTGACACACGCGTATAACGTGATTAACTCAATTAAAACGTTATGATCTGTCTTTATTCTCGTTGCTATTAACGCGTTAATGCTGACAGCACTAGTTAAAACCTAAAACGTTCAAACATTATTCCAAATATAAAGACAGATAAGCGGTATGAAAACCTCACAGCTTGGTTTTCCTCTGCCGTTTTTGCTGGAGCGGTCTGTGTGACCGTGGGACCAGAGGGCTCTGTGAGCGGGCGGCCTCGTGGGCTCCTCCCGCGGGTTGGCGCAGGCATCCCCCACCACCACTTCAATCCTCAATTCCGAAAACTTTCAAGCACATTTTTGTTCCGCCATCAGTTTTCGCAATATACAAAATCTACACAGTTGATTTCTCACCTCCACACAGTTGATTTCTCACCTCTACACAGTTGATTTCTCAGAAGTGGATTTAGTGATGAAATAACGTATGAAAATTATAAAATGTAAAACTTTCTGTAGCTGGCATCTGTCTGGTGTGTGAAATGATGATGCAGTGAATGGTGATGATTCGCTCTGACCAATCAGTAATTGCCGTGTTTTCACATCACATTTTAGTATTGCCTCAGCTCGCTTGGAACCTCGATGGAGGAAAAAAAGTACCTGGTAGCAGGTACAGGTACAACTTTTCCACAGTGGAAAACCAAAAAAGGCGAGTAGAGTCAAGGCGAGTCGAGTCGAGCTGGTACCATGCAGTGGAAAAGACGTTATAGAGAGGGGTGTGGCTGACATCTGCTTTAACAACAGAGTACATACACTCTGTCAAGTATTCGCTGTTCTTCTGTCTTTTCACTTTCCTTGAAGAGATATCTTGTGCTGCATAGTTTGCTGCCTTTGCTTCACCATTCAGCTAAAAAAGAAAAAAAAAATTGCTTGTTAATGACAAATGTTTCAGTGATTAGGGCTGTAACATGACCTGTTAGGTCAAGATAAAGTCTAGACTATAGATTTAGAACAGAAGTGCTCAACATTTTATCTTATTTTTTCTTTTTCTTTCTTTTTTCTTTTATGTAATTTGTTAGTTATCAGTATTATATTTGCATGTCTTTCCTTGATGCTATTTATCATATCTACAGGATCTGGTAAATACAAACGGTAGGAATAGGTAGAATATATATTAGTATACCCATGTAGCCAGAGAAAACCACACACTCACTGTTGCACATTTACCAGGTTATTTCATTGATTTACAGTTGAACTGTTGTGTCCAAGATGATGGGAATCACTCACTGTTCCTGTTAAAATAAAAACAAAGCCTTTAGAATGTGTGTACACATGAGGGATATGGTTACTTCTGTCATATCAGTCTGATTTTTGTCATCTCTTATTAAAGAACACAGATGAATAGTAAGTTTTTGGCTTTACAGTCAAACACAATCACTCCTATAATGTGCCCAAAACAGCTTCAGTGTTCAACTGAGCTTTGAGCAGTCAAGGGTGCTTTCCTCAAGGACAACTGTGCTAGTTTCAATTCACATACATGTGAATAGAAACATATAACATCTAAAATTAGGTGTTCAGCATTTCCTGCAGCAATAGCACTTTGTGGTGGGACACACAGGGACAGACAGGGACGGGTTGTATTTCCTTAATTGGACAATAAAAGTTATTATCTAGTGTGCAAAATTATATTTTACATTCAAAACATGACATATAGTGACCTCCAGTTTACAATAATGTGACACTGTGACAAGAAAACCAAACTAACATTCTAACCAGCAAAAGAGGATGAGCAGATTCGTCCAGTAGGTTATGTGTTTTCTTTTAAATACAGTACCTCTGTGACTGCAACAGTATGCTGCAGTGATAGTTTTACTTTTATTTCCACCATCGCCATATTCTGTTGAATCGAAACACAAATGTATAAAATGTTGTCCCAAAGAAGACATATGGATGGATTTTGCAAATAATACATCATTTGGAGTTACTATAAACCATCTAATCTGAAGCCCACATTTTCTGTTTAACAGCAAAGTCATTTATTATATTCAGACATTCATGGTTGGGTTTCAAAAAGCTTAAATGAAATGATAAGTAAAATATGGTGAACTGACCTTTGCAATGTTCACAAACTTTCCTTCGATCCACATAGAAAAAAAGGACAGCAATCACAGTCACACTGCAGGCAAACTGCACTTCAAGCAGAAGGACAACTGGTATAATTCTCATCCTGAATCAGAAACATTTCCTTAAAGCCATTTATCTGGAAAACAAACAAACAATGTACGTAAAAGTAATTATTACGAATTAATAAGTTCCTGAAAATAATTTTGTATAATAAATGTTTATGGTCTTAAATGTCTTAATTATACAATGATTAAATTTTATTGATAAGTGCGTGTATTGGCTTCATGTTTTTATAAACTCTTAGCCTCCCTTAACCTTAAAAGAAACGAACAGACTTATCTGCCAGAATCTAGAACATTTTAACCAGGCTAAATTAATTTATGCAAGTTAAATACATGATTTTAATATAGTTGTGAAAAACATACTTGTATCCACTTTGGTCACCAAACAGGATCTCTCCACATGTGACCACAGCACAGTAATACATCCCAGCATCAGAGGAGCTCTGTATAGTTTTGGACAGACTGTAGACACAGCTCTTTTCCACCTGTTCAACACTGCTGTCTTTGTGACTGTAAATTATGCTTAGATAGGATTCTCTTGATACAGCTCTGAACCAGCGCACATTGTGTTCAACTGGACACTGATATGTGTTTCCTTTGTTCTTGGAGAGAAGTGAACACTGCAGAGTAACTGAGCCTACTGGACTGATGCTGTCTCCAGACTTAAAAACTTAGTGATCATTAACATACCACAGACAATAAATATGTTTTACCATTCACAACCAAGAAGATCCCATTCACTGCTGTCTGATCAGCATCTTGATATGCCGCATCTGTGAGGTGGATGGATTATCTCGGCAAAGGATGTGCTCACTAACACAGATTTTGACAGATTTGTGAGCAATATTTGAGAGAAATAGGCCTTTTGTGTACAAAGAGAAAGTCTTCGATCTTTGAATTCAGCTCATGATGAATGCAGGCAAAAACAAAAGTGCAGCGTTTATAATTTTATTTGGTGTAGAAAAGAAACTCTGTGGTTTAATGAGTAGCTGTTGTACAACCTGGAAATATTTACTGACAACAACAATCGGGCCCAGTGGCTGCAGAAATTCTGTCCTCAGTAATGTTGATGGCTTCATACTTTTGTGACTAAATAAGACCTCAGTGTTGTTTTAGATCTATTGGCGGCTAACTTGCTTTTTTTTTTTTTATTGTTCCCAGATTTGTTTTATTCAAGAGAAACTAATAACATTAAAGACATAGCAAATAGGTCTTGCTTTCTTCTCTGTTTGACGATCAATCTGTGATCTCTGTATCTCCTGCGTCCATTATCACATCCACTCCTATGCAGCTAACCACCTAGCCATAGCACCCGCAGTGCGTTATCCAAGTTCCTCAGCATTTCATCTTCCATTACTCATCATCCAGCAGCTCCAGCCAGACACCACCAAACCCACACAGTGGCCATAGCCATCACTGACCTTCAGGAGAAGCCCACTCTTCTAGACATTTGATTTCCAACAGGCCAGCCCCTCAATACCCAACTCGCAGCCCCTGGATTCAACTCTTTCTTATGCCACAACCAAACCCCACTGGACAGTCACCATCCTCCAGCATGCAATCAAGAAAAGGCAAATCTGCACAAGCAAAACTCAACTGAAAGACCTGTGCCAGTATTTATCATGTTTTTCAAAGTACCATTTTAGTCTTAAGTGTGGATAATTAATGAAATTTACTTCAAAGATAAATTTCTTAAAGCTGATGACATGCACGAATATTTCAGGAGAGGAAGAATGCTTCTGAATTATTTGACGACGTGCACTAAAATAGATGGGGTCGGACAGCGCAAGCATAATCTTTGTCAGCAAGCTGGTGAGGGACGTCATCTCACCACTGACTTTATGCAGCAATACGTTTTCAGCTAAACATAAGGTTGTGATAAAGCTTTTTTAATTTGCCACAGGAAAAATGCAGCAAAGCTGATGATTTTGGCCCGTCACAACCATCAATAA